GGTCCCGGCAACATCCAAACGGAGCGGAAGGGAATCGTACGGCTAGTTCGTTCTGGGTACGCCATACGCCGGAGGACTCGATGAGAGGGCCGTATGCACAACGATGGTGGAAAACCATTTGCCTACATGCCTCCGCTGACACTGCCAAATAAGTCTCCTTATGCTCCTCCCTGCGGGCCCCGAAAAAATTAACGGAAAACGTTGCGGACTGCCGAATAATTTTGCACAAGGAAGCTGGGGTAGAATACAGTTTCGTATTTGGTCGGTAGATGTGAAGAACGAGCCTTTGAGGAGGAGTCGTTTGGTTGGGCAAGAGCCCGGCGCAATCTTGGTGGTCCGCGGAGAAAGAATAACGTAGAGGGATGTTCGGACGGGCAAAGCCACGCATCTATGGCGACGCAAGGGAAAGCCAGGCAAGAGAGGCAAAGGGCAAGGCAGAAGAGAGCACTAATATCCGGCAAAGAAGAAGAAGGTCGAGACGCAAGCGAGGAAGCGTCGGCAGCGGTAGATTGCGCCAGCTCTTTATTGCGGACAAGGAGAGCGGAGATACGGTCCTGCGAATGCTTAAGTTGCAGCTGTGCCTCCTGCAAAGATGCCGCGAGTTGTGCGACGTGGGAGTCAGTCAACCCTGGAGAGGTATGGACCTGCTGCTGTGGCAATACGCCTACTTCCGGTGTCAAAAGGTTGGCCCGGGGTGACCTGGATACGAACGCGTCCCTGTCGCTGCCGCGATGGTGCACTGCGGGTTGTGGCCGCGTCTGAAGCTGAGGACGGGATGTAGAGGAAGGTAGACGCCGGATGGAAGGGCAAACATTGGCAAAGTGTCCCCTACCCTCACAATTGAAGCAGCGCAAACCGGATGGTACATGGGTTGTTGCTGGTGTCGAGCGTCCCCTCGGGCGAGAAGACATGGCCGATGCCTGGGGGAGCCTGTGAAGCAGTGCGCCATTGAGTTCGAGCGCTACTGCCACGGTTAGGCTGACGTGCCATGAGATGGACCGGTGCGGGAGGAGAGGTCGGATGCAGAAGACGCTCGGCTGTAGCTTCAGAGAGAAGCTGTTCCACTGTCTGTGCTTTGGTTACCGCCTGATCGAATGACACGGGGCTATCGAGCTTGACGAAGTAACGAATGTCGCCTCGCAGGCGGGCGACAAACTCCTCGAGTACTCGCTCTTGCTGGGTGACCTGGTCTTGACCAGAAGTTGCCGCGCGGACAAGGTTAAGAATACGGTTGGCGAACGCGGTACACGATTCTCCCGGCTCCTGACGACATGACGAAAGCTTCTGACGCGCAACGTATCGTTGTTGTGGGCTTTCAAAGAAAGCGACCAAGTGAGCAACAACAGCGGAGTACGAGCGCTTAGCAGCTTCATCTAACTCCTCCACCTTCTCCCGAGCCACGCCGTCTAGATGACCGATGAGGAAGTTCGCTCGCTGTTCGTCCGAGAGAGACGTCGGCCGCATGCGCATAACATCTTCAAGACGGCGAAGCCAAATAGAGAACTGTACGCCCCCCTCGGTGGCACCTGAAAAGGGCGTTACGCGGGATGCCTGGGATTCTGGGTGAAACATTGCGACCGTGGGCAAGTCGTCCAACCGCTTACCAACCGCTGCGAAGGACTCGTTAAGCTTCTCCTTAAGAGCCGCGTTGCCCTCGTTGATCTTACGGGAAAGCAGGGCGGCAGTGGAGCAAGTGTCGTTCCACACCTGCGTAATGGCTGTCGACGTGGCGTCCCGGAGCATCTTAGCTTCACGTCCGCGGAGTGGGAAGTCATCTTGCAGGTCATCGAAGAGAGAAAATGACGAAGCTAAAGAAGCCTCCCCTTTGATGGTTGGTTTAGCGTCCGACAATGCTTGGTCAGTAAGCTGGGCAGAAGCCCCAAGAGTCGATGACGATGAGGACTTTGCAAGACTGCGGGTAACGGACATGATGTCTAATACCAGACTGGTCATGAATGGGCTGAGCAGAAACCTATATAGGATATGTGTGAGTGGGCGCCATGGGATAGGATGAAAACATTTTAAGAGAAAATCAGGAAGAGGAAAACATAGTTAAAGATGTTATGAGAAGCGCGATGCCTAAGAGAAACATAAATTGATATTCTCAGCCGAAGAAAAGAAGAAGCTATGTTCTGAAAAGTTGAAAGAAAAACACAAAAGAATCTGAAACATAATGCATCGCATCAGGCCGATGGGAACGGTTCAGAAGCAAGATGAGAAGCGGAGATAAGGCGCTAAGCGCAGAGTCCCGCCACAAGGCTGTAAACATCCGCGCAACTTAGCTGTAAACATCCGCGCAACTTAGCTTGCCACCCACGCATGCCTCTGCCGCGGTACAGTAACTACCCAAAGAAAGCGAACCTCTACGATACTAATAAAGCACTTGAGATGGTGACCCACAGGGTCCTTACAAAAGGAAGCAAGGATGCGCGAAAACGGAGCTAATACGACTTGCTGGACTGCTTGAAGCTAAAAGATGCATCTGATACCTACTGGTGCGCAATACCGAGTCGACTGAAATTCCATAACCACTTCATACAGCTTGGAGCTACAGGGGTACCGTCCCCGAGTGTACACTACTTGTCCCGAAAATTTTCACCACACGGATAGGACTAGTCCTGCAGGTATTCAAAAGGCTCACATAAAAGAAGACAGACGTTGCCGTGGTCGGCAATAATCGTATGTCGGAAGGCTGACCAAAAGGTCCAAGCAGAAAAAAGGAAAAGAAAAGGCTAGCCAATTAATCAAGAAATGAGCGTGTTCGAAGAAGAAGACAGTAGAGCAGCAAAAGAGAAGAAGATGCCGACCTGTAGATTCAATTTTGGTTGAGTTAAAATTTCAAAAGACATGCGAAGGATACCGCAGTCTCCTCGCTTTCGAAACTACCAAAAGTTCCTACGGATGGAAGGTAAAAGAAAATGTTAGTGGGCACAACCGGGCCCTAGGTTGTGTCCGAAAGATATCTATAAAACCTATAGAGGGAGAGAGAAAGAAAAGAACGGGAACTATAGTGAAAATAAGGAGGAAAAACTGAAGACTGCAAGAAGAGTTAAGCTAGAACCCGACAGAAATAGGAAGTCCTACTACAGCAGAAAGTGAAAAGAACTCACCTGGCCATTGCCTCGTGGATCGTTTCGCTGCTACCAGTAACGTGTGGTAATACTACCAATACCATCAGATACGAATATCCACTCACTGTTTATTAGCAAGGAATATGCGTCATGAATATCAGATCTCTTCTGGTATCAGATGGTTCAGCAAAAGCGTGAAGGTTGAGTACAGCAGACGTGCGGGTCCGAGGGCGGCAATGGTCGGGTCCGGCGAACGGTCGGCGTCCAGGCGGCGGCTACAATACCCATCGTCCTCGCTCCGTCGCGGCTCCGCCTTCTGTAATCAGAAAGCTCATCGAAGCATCAGCACGGTGACTAAGCTTAACCTACTATCGATTTCTACGTAACCCTAACTCATACTACAAGTCGTAGAAACGACAGTTTCCATGGTGAATTTTCTTCGCTCCATTTTTGGTATTCAGAGAACCATTTAGGAAAAATGAACCATAGATTTGCGGTTCTTGCAAGTGTCCCTACATCATGCAAAAAACCGATCTTCTTGCAAGTGTCCCTACATCATGCAAAAAACCGTTTTGAAAAAGCTTGGCACGCCCTGAACGACCTTCCTGGTAAGCTTCGAAGAAACAACAAAACAACAAAACAAACAAAATAAGGCCCTATCGCAAGAGATGCGAGCATGCGACGATAACGCACGTAAGTAAAACCGCGTCAAACGATTGTTTTCTGTTAGAAAAGGGACTAAGCCTTGGCGGAGGAAGGGGAGACTCCAGAGTGAGTGATTTTCATCTTTTTCGTAGCTCCTGCCCACCCCCGAGGCTTAGTCCTAGGGGAAGCCCGATATCTTGTGGTGCGCCACTTTTTCTGGATGTGGAAAAAAGAGGTAGAGCAGGAAATAGGTCAGTTCCTCTCAGAATACGTCACAGTTCTTGACATGTCTTAGTTTGCTAAGTAGAAAGCTGCAGTATAAATGCCATGCTCTGACACTGGCCTAATCGTAAGGGTGAGATCCGGCACGCACACCTGAATGCTGTAGACTCTTTTGAGGAGGGCTGGCACTTGGGCGGGGATGGATCCCCGTTCCCGGTTATGGACGAATCTCCAACTTTGGAGACTCGTCCCCAAAGTTGGAAATTTGTCCCTGGCCTTGCACGGAGAATAATGGCCGATGTCAGACTTTGCGATTGGAGCGATTTTGCACCGATTGCAAGAGCGATGGGTCGCTTGAGCGATGGTGCAGAATCGATTGACTGTCCACAGGGCTCCTATCAAGTGCGGCGACAGCCACGTCAAATTCAACGAGACATCTAATCTGACTTTGAGATATGGACTGTATGTCAGTGTGTTCCGAGAGACGAAAAAACAATCACCAACAGACCTGAAGTGCAGTTAGGTATTGATATCCATTCTACCGTCATGTCATGATTGGTGATGCCCTTTACTGAGTGAACTCCCTGTTGCACACGCGTCACCTCCACGAGGTGTTGGTGTCACAGGAGGAAGGGACCATAGCGGAGAGATAGAAAGCTTGCGCAGGAAAGGAAGGTCCCGGCGGTTGACGGGAGACCAATCTGGTGGGTCAAAACGTAGAAGCAAATCCAAATGTTGACGGTAGATAATCTTTCATCTACTGCTGCTTGGAAACACTTGTAATAATTGCTCAGCTAGCAAATTAATGTTATCACCAGCTTCAGATAACGCATTAGAAACACTTTTTACATGCACTCTCAGCTCCGCTCGCCTACGTCGGAAGCCGGTCGAGTTTCAATTTACTATTCTTTCTGCACCGTCAAGAGATCGCCTTGTCAACACTTTATTTTCAGAACTATGAACCATGCCAGCAATGATTCCAGCGTAGCGATCATTGCTAGCGTTGAAAACGACTCTTACTGTTAGCGGAGCAGCACACTGGGAGCTGCACAAGGCATCACAATGGGAGCTGCAGAAGGAAGTAGTGTTACCACCACACCCACCAGTGGAGCCACCACTCGAGTCATACCAGAGACTACCGCGGAAGCCACCACAGCAGCCACACCAAGAATCACTGCAGAAGCCACATCACGAACCACCGCAACAGTCACACCAAAAACCCCCGCAGCACCCACCACTGCGGTCTCGAGTGGAGCCACCGCAGGAACTGTCTCAGAAGCTACCACCGCAGCTACCCCTAAAGCCATCACAGGAGCCACACTTGGAACCTCCGCAGCAGCCGAAACCGCGGTCACCACTGGAGCCACCGCAGGAATCGCCTCAGAAGCTATCACTGCAGCCACCCTGAAGCCACCACAGCAGCCACACCAGGAACCTCTGCAGCAGCCACCACCGCGGTCACCACTGAAGCCACAACAAGAATCGCTTCAGAAGGTGCCCCCGTGGAAACTTCAAAACCTGCTACAATGGCGGGAGTCGCTTCTCAAACTGCCCCCGCAGCAACCACTGCAGCCGCTGAAGGAGCTGCCGCACAAACACCAGGCATCTTTTGATCATCATCCGCTTCTCTTTTTTTGAAAACCTGCATCGCTTCACTTTTACAGGTAGCAGAAATGAGACTGTAAGCGTACCACGAGATATCACGGCCAGCATAGAAGCTACAACCACAAAAATTACAAGTTGGTAACTGCTATTGCCTCGGTTTTCCATGCTCATCCCCTCGATAGTGCGCATTATTGGAAAAAATATATCGATTTTACGCACGCGCGCTCATCAATAGTGGGGAGAACCGAATCAGCGCTGAAACACCTCCAAGAAGGGAGCCGTTGAATTTCTGAAAAATGTCCGCACATCATGGTCGATTCTGGTAGGAACAAAAATACGTGGGCAATGTCTACCTGAGCAGGAAAGGATGATGGGTCGAAGTGACTACCCTCGCCTTCAAACAACCAGAAATTGTGCAATTGCAGAAATTGACGTGGCATTAACGTGGCATCGATTCAAGAACATCTTTGAGCACACGTGATGTCACCTTTTCATCGAGAATTTAGCCACGTGTGCCACGTGTGCCACATGGCTAAATTCTAGATGAAAAGGTGACATCAGCACCCGAAGTAAGCGTAAATTACGATGTTCCTGCCGTAGTCACGTACAATGCGCGTCGCATCGACGCGATTTCCGCAATGACAATCCTATAGGTTATGCTCACAATGAGGCTACCCCCGCTGGGCAGCAATCCAAAAATGGATGAGCGTGAGCGCATGAGCGGCGAGGCTGAACGCTGCGCGCGCTTCGCGCGCAGGCTAGGGGAGGTTATCCCCGGTGCCGCGCTAGACTAGGCGCGAGGCCACTCTGGCGTGCGTGCCATCCTCCACCTCCTACATGAACGGCGCTCAGTATAGTTGGCGGGTTGGCTCGACATATTCTCTCTCCTTTGAGAGAGCGCAGAGAAAACGAATAGTGGGAGGCGAGCACGCACTTCAGCGCGTCAATGCGTCGCGCATTGTACGTGACTACAGCAGAACATTGTATAGCACGGGCTTTACTTCTTACGCCAGGGTTGCCATCGATTCAATGACCCACACTTGTTAAGTGTCCACTCGTCAATTATCTGCAATTGGCAATATCAATTGTCTTGGTTAGTGAATAGGACTATACAGTCGAGATCCGTAAGTTGGGGTAGGCGTGTCACCGGAAGTGACGTGGACTTGATAGAAGTTGCGTAGATAAGTCGTTGCCAGCATGCTTTGCTGATATCTCGCGATGTATATTGGAAGCCCTTATCCACATAGATTCTATCAAGTACACGTCACTTCCGGTGACACGCCTACCCCAACTTACGGATCTCGAGTATATATGCAATGAGAGCTAGGGTTTGTTGTACAAAGGAAAGGCATGCGTGACCGTTCGTGCTCCAGTTAATCAAAGGAAAACAAGAGTACAGTTCATATCTCGAAGTCTGATTGGGCGTGTCACCGGAAATGACGTGGCAGCCACCGCACTTGATAGATGTCGTGTGGATAAAATACTCCGCCAGATATCAGCAAAGCGTGTTGGAAGCAGCTTATCCGCGCAACTTCTATCAAGTGCGGTGGCTGCCACGTCATTTCCGGTGACACGCCCAATCAGACTTCGAGATATATCGACTGTAAAAAACAGACTGGGTTGGTTCAGAACTTTGCCTTTAAACTTCCCATGAGGCAGCAAAGCGAAACAACTCAAGCAGTCACTAACACGAAGAACAAAAATAAAAGATCCTACTATATATAAGCAGCTAGCGTGTGTCTGTTGGTGGTCCGCTGTGTGTGCTGCGTGTAAGGTTAGTTTAGTTTCGGCTCAAACGCCAGTATCTTTAACACTTCCATGCTTATAAGTGGGGTGGATTGGCCCGGACACAGTGGTTACGTGATAGAAAAGAACTGTATCAACGAAAATGCACCTATATAGAACTGAAAATAAGATCGGAATGAATGGACACTGAGGTCAGAAAGACAGCAGTCATCTGGTGCAATTCACGTGCTTCTGCATTGGTCTGCTATTATCTGGGTAGAGTAGCGTCGTATACTTTACCAGAGTCTTTAAAATTGTCTGGGGCGTCTACTAGTTAAGGGCGAGTCCCGGAACAATGGTGGCTACTATGAATTGGAAGCAAAATTGAACTACGCAACTGGATATCAGATGATGCGAAAATGATAAGCAGGCGCTAAGAGAAAAGCCGCTCGGCTTCTGTAAGACGCGGCTCGCAACCAAGTAATTTATAGTTGACTTGAACACCCAGGAATTCCTGAAGGAGCAACCATACGTACAAGTGTTAAAATGTGGGTGGCGACGTGGACAAAATTGCTTCCTAGGGACGCACGGAAATATCTGATAACTGAGTGAATAAAAGGTGTCGACCCGACAGAGGCGCGCCATAACGGCCTGATAAAGCGCTTCAGTGCGTTCTGAAGTCGTCGATTCCGTTGCGGCTCGCGTTGACACCAGAGCAACCATACTTACAAGTGTTATGTGGGGTGGGACGGGGACATTGTTGGTGGGTGCCAGAAACTGATAACGATTGATAAGGGCTGATAAGGCGCGTCAGAACGCAAAAGTCGTCAATTCCGTTACGCAGCGTTGACACTAGAGCGTTCCTACTTACAAATTGTAGTAAGTCGTAGTAGTACAAACAAAGGTACGTGCACATTATTTCGATATATATCCAGCTTACTTAATAGCAGTCGATTGCATAAATTCAATCAAGTCTTCAGCAAATGATAAGTTTCATTTCTCTATCAAGAAAGCCCAAACTCATTAAACCGCTAATCCTTTCGGGGTTCTAAATAATGGTGAATGTAAATAAATGATAAGCCTTAGCTCCTCACTTATGTAAATAGGCATATTTCATTTTCATTTTGAGACTGACAGCAATCCTATTCACCGCTAAATTATCTGAATTCAAGAAGAATGCTGGATGTTTACAGTTGTGAGATAAATATGCCAGTTCAGCTCCAGACGTTATCACGCGTATTCTCGATGAGCTTCAGTGAAACTGTGGAGGGTCTAACACAGTCAATAGTGAGATGGTTAATGGAGTATCTCATGCTGATATTCCATGGGTCCTCCAGTTTCGCTAAAGCCTGCCGTGTGATGCGCGCGATAGCGGGCGAAGCAAAACTGGTGTTTGAATAAGTGCATTGGAATGAAGCTCTAATCATACAAAGAAGCTGAATTGCAGTTTTTGACATGTCTTTTTTTGTCACTTGCTCTATTTCTGGAATGTTCAGCTGATTGCTGACATGTAATATTTTGTTAGGAGATTGTGACACGTTTTCTTTCGTTAGCAGCGAATATCCTCCCGTCGCACAGCAGACCTGATGCCTACCCTCCCTTCAAAAAGCGAGAAAGTGTCGGGTGCAGACCATGCACCACAAGTGACGACGGCCTTCACAAAATGTTAATGTTTTCTGCCAATGAAATGATTAGCCTGTTGCAGTTGTATTCTATCGATTGTCACTAATTACAACTATCATTTACCAGAAATCAGCTATCACTATGAACAACTCTAACCAGATTTACTTGGAGGCCGTCGTCAGTTGTGGTGTTTGGTCTGCACCCGACACTTTCTCGCTTTTTGAAGGGGAGGTTACACTTATGCATATTTTTAACGCTGATCTCGAATCTGCTTTGCGGATCACCAAATCTAATCCCTGGACTGAGTTGCAAAGCAAATTAGAGCAGCGGTAACGGTCCGGGCTCAGTGGGAGTTGTAAGATCGGTTCCCATACGAGTTCTTCCTTTTGCTTCCGCAGCAACATGCTTGAGAAAAGCTCGCAGGCTTGGGTTACTTGATCAACGTATGCCTATATCTACCCGCACAAAACAATTTGCGAGGGGATGCACATAGCCCACAGAACAGACGTTTCGGCAGCTGTCGTGACCAGGTGCTGACTGGAGAATGCATCGGCGGTGCGTGCACCCGGACCACGGCAGAACGTGGGAGTTGTCGGTGCCCACACACCCTCGCGGGGTTTACCTGTCGCGCTGAATGCTGTATGCCTTGCCACGGGCAGTTAAGGCCTTACCCCTGTAGACCTACGGTTTACGCACTACGACATTGTACTACTGTTGCGATGAAATAAAGGTGGTTTTAACCGACTACGCAACTACGCACATAAACTACACTGATTATTGAGACCGGTTTATGACTTATACCATAACGACAATAGATATTGACTGCGGGAATAAAGAGACTACAACACATGAGAATATAAAGTTAAG